CTGAGTTGCTCACCACTCTACCGCAAAAAGTGAACGCAGTTTACTCCCATAAAGTTGTGTTTTTATCCATTTTTGAAGTTGTGTTATTCTTTCATTATTATTTCAAAATTTATTACTAATCTTTAAGATTTATTTTATTATTTTTTTATTGGAAAGTTAGATACAGAGAGAGGAGGAGAGACAAAGACAAAGATTCACTTCCCAAGTTGCCCCAAAGGCTGGAGATGAGCTAATCCAAAGCCAGGCTCCAGGAAGCTTCTTATGGCTCTCCCACCGGGGTGCAGGGTCCAAAGGCTTTGGGCTGTCCTGGACTGCTTTCCTAGGCCACAAGCAGGGAGCTGGAAGGGAAGCAGGTCTACCAGGACATGAACCAGTGCCCGTATGGGATCCTAGCGAATGCGAGGCGAAGGCTTCAGCCGCTAGGATGCTGTGCCAGACCCAATTCCTAAATTTTAGAAAGCATATAATTGTGCATCAGCATGGGTTACTGTGTGATTTCCCGATGTGTTGTATAGAGAGATAGGTTGGATTTTTATTTATTTTGAAATGTATTTTTATAGTACAGCAGCTTTTGATATAATTTTATAGACTAATTGATTAAGAAAAATAATAACACTGAGGTTTATTTTATTTTTTACTTTTAAGAAATCAGTTAATGCATTAGGTCCTTAGGATCATAAGCAGGTGCATGGCAATTATTACAAGATACTTCTCATCAGTCTCCTGTTAATTTATGTAATACAAAGAGAACAGATTTCATGCAGGTCATAGATACAAATCTAAGAATATAATTTATGTCACATGCATCTGCCTTCCTTCCTTCTTTCCTTCCTCTTTTATTCTGTTAAGGTAACAACTTTTAATTTAAATTGTAATAGAAAACTTAATATGCTGTTTGTCTAGGAACATATGTATAATGTAAAATATATAATATATAGCATAATATATAATATATGAGAATACATATATATTTCCACAATGTGTTGTATAATTTGGGCTCCATAAATAAATGAGTTCATGCAAAAATAGCTTTTACATTTTTAAGATTTATTTATTTGTATGAAAGAGTTACAGAGCAAGTATGATGGGGGACAGAGAGTGCTTCATTTGGTAAGACACTTCCCAAATGGCTGCAAGGCTGACCCCAGGGCTGCTCCACCCTGGGAGCCTACGGAGTCTTCATGGTCTCTCTTGAGATTGCAGCAACTCAGGCTGATGGAATGTCTTGTAATATCCTTCTAGGTGCATCAGCAGGGAATTGTCTAGGAAAGTGGGACTGGAATTAAGTGCCCATATAGAATGTTGACTATGAGGCTGATGGCTTACTTGCTCCATCACAACACCAGTCTTCAAAATAGTATCTTAACATGCAATAAATTTTACATTTTCACTATCCTGAGTTGAGAATATCACTTTTCTATCATCAGCAGCTTTGTATTTTTATTTTAGAAACATTTATTTTGTTATAACAATTTGGAAATCCGCATATAATTTTTCATGATATCCATTTCCATGGATTTTATACCATCTTCTAGTTTATTTTTTTTCGTGTCCATCTTATATTAATACAAAGAGAACAAATTCAATAGAGCAATAGAGATCTAAAAATATAAGAGTATTCTCTTTTAAAGAAGAAAGCTAAGTTACTGTAAACCTTTTTATGGTAAATTATATAGTAAGTCTGCAGAGCAATATTACTGAATTATTATGAATTGTTTAACATACAATGGACATTATCCCTGAAGAATATTGTCTAGGGCCCAGCACTGTACCCTTGTCCTTGCCTTGGATGTGCCATGATCCCATATGGACACCTGTTCCTGACCCAGTTGAACCATTTTCCATCCAACTCCCTGCCTGTGGCCTGGGAAAGCAATTGAAATGGCTTAAAGCCTTGGAATCCTATACCTGTGTGGGAGACACAGAAGAAGCTCCTGGCACCTGGCTTTGGATCAGCTCAGCTCTGACCATTGAGGCCACTTGGGGAGTGAAACAGCAGATGGAAAATCTTTTGTGTTTCTCATTCTGTCGATATAGCTGACTTTCCAATAAAAATCAATAAAACATTAAAAAAGAATATTGTCCTGAAACATAATTCTCTCAGTATCGCTTCTCGGCCTTTTGGCTAAGATCAAGTGTAGTACATAATTCTCTCAGTAACTAAAATGTATTCATAAAAATTGAAGGATTTATTAAGCCAATCAATGTTATATTTTGATGTTTATTGTCTCTTTCAGTGCTATGAATGTTACAGCTATTTAGACACAAAGTTTAGACAAAGCCTCTATTATTCCATCTCACTATTTTAATCAAGTCATATTCTATTAATCTATTTTAAAGAATTTATTGTTTATTTTATTCTTGTTGTGGAGTTAAATGCTGGATGTTCATCTTCTCATGCATGTATTTTGGAATGTTATTTTTTTCATGTGGACAAAATATTGCATACTTATGTACTCTAATGGATTTTTTTCCCTTTAAATGCCCCTAACTTTATTACATTAGATGAAAATATAGAAATTTTAAAATACATGTATTTTAGTAATAGCTCAAGCATTGTATGCCAAATAGTCTGATGAATCCAAGCATTGTTTGAACTCACAAAACTTCACCATTGTCCTTCTTCCTAACAGAAGGATCTAGTGACAGATAAAATGTTGCAATATTCCTTAAACATATCATTAAGGCCTTTGTTATTCAAAAAAGCTGTTGTCTAATAGAGCAGGACAGCGTATGCTTCTGAGCAGGGGCCTGAGATCTTTGTAATCTTGCCTGTCATCAATCATTGTGTGCGGCTGCCTCCGCACAGATTCGTCACCTGGAAGGCTTCCTTCGCTTTTGTTTTCTACTTCTCGTCCTTCCCCTTCATTCATTCTTCATTTTTGTTTATTTTTTTTAATACTTATTTGAAATGCACAGGTACAACGAAAGCAAGAGAAACAGCTGTCTTCTATCGCTGGTTTACTGCTTGAATGCTGAAATGGTTGGGGCTTCAGCACTCTAAAGCCAACAGTTTGTTCTGGGTCTCCCACATAAGTGGAGGTCATCTTCTGGCCTTTGCCTGTCCTCATTAGGATATAAATGGATTTGAAGTGTAGCAGTAAGCACTTGAAACAGCTCCCACATTGAATTCAATGTTGTCACAAGTAGAAGCATAACTGGCTACATTACAAGATATTTTAAGATATTTTAAGATTCATTCTTATTTTTGTTTGAAAGGTTTATGCTCAAAACTAAAGACAGAAAATAATCTTCTATCCACCAGTTCATTCCCCAAGTGACCACACCAGCTGGAGCTGAGCTGCACTGAAGCCAGGATCTTCTTTGGAGCCTCCCATGCAGTATAGGTTCCCAAGGCCTTGGGACTTACTCTACTGCTTTTCTATACCACAGTCAGGGAGCTGGGTCAGAATGGAGCAGCTGGATTTGAATGGGTGCCCATTTGGATGCTAGCATTTGAAGGTAGAGAATTAGACTGTTATCCACAGTACTAAGTCCTGAAGGTTTACTTTTAAATGACTTTTTGACTAGTAGGCTTGGAATCCAATAATGGACATTTTATATATATGTATATATATATATATATATACACATATATAATATGTATATTATATATATTATACATATATTTCTGATATTAGCTTAAATGCATTAGCTTCAATTATTAAGATGCAACTTGGGGGCCCGGCATGGCATCCTAGTGGCTAAAGTCCTTGCCTTGCCTTGCACACACCGCGATCCAACATGGGAGCCGGTTCTAATCCTGGCAGCCCCATATCCCGTCCAGCTCCCTGCTTGTGGCTTGGGAAAGCAGTCAAGTATGGCCCAAAGCCTTGAGATTCTGCACTGGCATGGGAGACCCAAAAGAGGCTCCTGACTTCTGGTTTTGAATCGGCGCAGCTCCAGCCCTTGATGCTGCCTGGGGGATTGAATCAACAGAAGATCTTCCTCTTTGTCTTTCCTCTTCTTGGTATATCTGACCTTACAATAAAATTAAATAGATCTTTTAAAAAAAGGTGCAAGTTGGAAATTTCGCATCCCATATGCTAACACCTGGGTTTACATCTGGTTCTACTCTCAGTTCCAGCTTCCTGCTAACATGAATCCTGAAAGGCAACAGTGAATGTTTTTAACATTTGAATAGCTGTCACCCACAGGGGAGCTCCAAATTCATGTATAGGTTCCTGACTTTAACCTAATTCAACCCAGGCAATGGCAGGCATTCATGCTTTGGTAGTGGAAAATACCAAGTACTCTGTTTTTTTCTCCCTCTCTCTTTGATTATCTCTGTCTTTCATTTTAAACAATTAAGAAATTTTAAAATTAAAAGTAGAATACGTAAAACAAGCAAAATAAAATCCTTAATGACAACATTGTTTAAACTTAGTTGTTGTTGATTTGAATGGGGAACTGATTCTATTGGATCCTCCTAATATGAACAGTACCCTATTTTACCAAGCTATTATATAGTCACAGATACAGACGTTTTTAGACCTTCACGTTTTCTTTACTTTTTAAAGACTTATTTATTTATTTGTATTTATCGGAAAGGCAGATTTACAAAGAGTAGAGACAAAAAGTAAGATCCTCCATCCTCTAGTTATTACCCAAGCGGCCACAACATCTGGAGCTGTGCTGATCCTAAACCAGGAGCCAGGAGCTTCATCTGGGTCTCCTATGTGGGTTCAAGGCCCCAAGCTTTTGGGCCATCCTCAACTGCTTTCCCAGGCCACAGACAGGGATCTGAATGGGAAGTGGAGCACCTGGGACAGGAACCAGTGCCCATATGGCATTCTGGCAGTTACAAGACAAAGATTCTGCAACTGGGCTACTGTGCCTGGCCTGAGCTTTGACTTTTGTATTGTAATGAATATCAAAAATATGTTTGGAGGTCCATTTGTGTATACTGAAATGTATTTTGAAACATATTCCAGTAAGGTGTATATATAATTTTTGTTATTTCATTTTTATTCATTTTTATTATTTCATGTTTTTTCCAGCACACGTGCATACTCTGGTGTACCAAAAATGCAAGTTCCTGTGTAAAGAATATTTACATAATTCATCAGCCATGCAACTTCTGTGGAGTCACCCGGTATGCTATTAGGCAAGCTCAGGTTCCTCCTCACGTTGCCTGCATTTGGCAATTGGAACTGAGAGGTAATGAAATTTTTTAACAAATATTTGAATCTACTTGAATCACTTCAGATTTAAATAGATAAGTGTTCATTAGCTAATCACAAAGTATTTTGTAACTCAGACACAATGTAAAGTAAAGTTAATAATCCTAGCCCTGTTTTTGTTCCCCTTTAACTGAGATGCTTAACGTCAAGTGCATTCTACATTTTTGACACTGACCACCTCCTTGTTGAAGATATCTAAGTGTAAAGAAAATTAAGGGTATTCCTTCTCTCTTGCATCTGTTTGTCTGAGGAGGTCAGATACTTAGAAAAGTATACAATACTCTCTAAAATCAAGTGTTACTGTTACAGTAAATAAAAAAAGCTTGCAGCTAAAGAATATTCTTTAAAAACAAAAGAAACAGTGGACAACTGAAAGAGTATGTTTGGAGCTTAGAAAATATTTATACAACAAAAAACATTCTAGTAAGAGAGAGATGGAGAATAAAGAGAAACTGCAGAAGACAGCATGCTGAATTGAATGCATGTATGCAGAAATCATTGTGTGAAGAGATGGATTTTCAGGGACAAGATGAATCTCTACGAAAAGTAAAATTAGGTTGGGTGACAAACAACACCGGGCCTAAAATTACAGATTCAGTGTACTGATATTTATTTAAGAAAGAATAGGAACTCGTGTATTCTAGCACATTCAAAAAGAGAGAGTGTGAGAGAAAGGGAGAGAAAGAGAGAGAGAATCAAGTGGAGAGACAGGGTGGAGAACAGGCAAAATACCAGGGAGCAGCTGGGGTCTGATGTGAGGCGATGGGAAGTTTATACAGCAGTGGAAGTCCCCGGGCTGTGAAAGTAAGGAGAGAGTGAATGATGTGTCCTTTTGACTTCTTGTTTTTTGACATCAACTACTAAAAGCAAAAACTGAAATAAACACATTTCAACAGCTAAGTTTTAATAAATATATATTTCTTTCATACATTGCATTGGTAGTTCCTATCTCGGAATCTAATTTGTTTCACATAATTTTCTTTTCTTGGGTTACAGTTTTCATATAGCTGGTGCAAATTTGATTCCCATCTTTCAAATTGTCTGGCACTTTAATTCTGTTAGACAATATTTCTTCTAACAATTCTGTTTTAACCTTACATTTTGTGACAGACACTAAATTAGAAGATTAAATGTGTCTGTTCAACTAAAGGCTGATTTTATTTAACTGACAGCAGTTGTATTTGTAAGATTACGGTTACATTAAAACCGTGTTGAAATAAACTAACAATTAGCCTTTTAAACAGAAGACATGATAATTTATTTCATCATGCTCATAAAATACTATTCTAGAGAGTTAACAGCCTCTAATGACTGAAATACTTATCAGTTCATTAAGCAAATCACACTGAAGACCAAAAGCAGTAGATGAGAGGGATGACTTGTTGGCTGTTCCATGCCAGTGCTAAAAGGAAATCCGTACACTGCACTATGAATACTATTTTACAAATGACAGAATAAAGTAAAACAAACAAACTGGAACAACAACTGAGATCAGTGAATTTAAATGAATTATCTGTTCTTAGGAGTATTTTAGAATTTTGTTTGTTCAATGGTTGTAAACACTAGCTTCACATTTGATCATCCAAGGATCTCTTTAAGTATACAAATTAATGCTGAACTTTCCCTGCAGAATCAGCAAACTGGGATTGAAGTGAGATGGACAAAGAAGCATTTAGACACTCTCAAGTGCTTTTAGAATTCAGATTGCGAAGAATATATGTGCTGGTGCACTGTAAACCAGCTCATGGACTTCAGTGCTTGATTTATTTTTCATATTTGAATTCCCTTTAGATCACAGTGGTAGTAATGCTCGCATATGACTATTTCTAAACATTGAACTTTTAGAGAGCTAAAAGTGTCTACCAGAAATCTGTTCACAATGAACAAACAACAAATGTGATTTTGATGCTGATAAACGACTTAATTTTTAGAATGGCATTAAAATAAAAATATATATTTTTAGAACATGGTGGGTATAATGATATGCAGTCAAAACTGCTTAGAGTAAATCAGTGTCAAGCAATTATCATCAGTATAACCTAACAATGTTTAATCATTTATTCTTTGTAAGTCTATGAGCAGAACCTACTGAATACAGCTGATTGTCACAGATATAAGAATTAGGAAGCCCATATAATCCTAAAACCTGTATGACATGGGCTCTCCAACGGAAATACATCAGTTGTCAATGCACATTTCAATAATGCCAACCAGAATAATTTTAAACATCAGCATAAGGATTCAGAAACTTTTCTCAGAAATAATTTTCAAAACAAAATAAAATTTAGAGCCAAGAAAATATACACATAGAATTATATAACTTTTCTACAACAAGATTTTGATTGTTGTCACTACGTTTAACATTGCTCTCTGATAAAATATTATTTAATAGAAACTTAAAATCAAGCCAGTGAGGCTTCATGGAATGCATTAATTTTACCACCAGTAAAATTATTTTAATTAAATAATTTTTTGAACAACTAAATGAAGTGTCTTACACGCCCAATCAATTCTTTCCATTATGATTGCTCCACAAAGAAGGTGTGGTGATTAATTAAAATCCCTTCAAGGACAATGGGTCCACAGTGCACAACTTGAGAAAGAGCTGACATGCACTGTTTCATTTCAATGTCATTATCTATGCTAATTATATGTATTATTAGGTTGAAGGAAAGGAACTACTGACAGTGTGGATAATGAGTTGTGAAGTAAAATAAAATGATAAGAATCATATTTAAGATGAAACCATAACAAGAAGATAGGGTGTCTTTAATACATCTTTTTACATATTACTATTACAGTTCATTTATCTAAAAGAAATAACTTTTTCTAAACAAATGATGATTGCTATATTTTTGAGATTATACCACAAACAGCCATTAAAATTTGCTTTAAGTTTTATTAGCATATTTATTCATTTGAGAGGCAAAATGACAGGAGAGAAGTAGAAAATGAGAGAGAGAAAAAGAGAGAGAAAAAGAGAGAGGTTTGCTTTTCCCTGTTTCCCCTTCCATTTCCACCACCCCTTTTAAGTTGTTCACAATAGCCAGAGCTAGACCAGTCTGCAGCCCTGGGCTCCAGCTGGGTCTCCCACATGGACTACAGGTAGCCTGGTGCTTGAACCATCTTCCAGTTCTTTATCAGGCACAATGGAAAGGAACCACATTGGAAGTAGAGCAGCAGGACTCAAACTCATATTCTTATATGATACGCTAGTATAATAAGCAGCAATTTCACCTTCTGCAACACAGCCGTGGCATGACATTTTCTATTTTTCTTTTATGAAATACTATATTTCATAAAATTAATATATTTTTATAATAACCCGATAGTTAATAATTTCATGATAATTTCGGTGAGAGAAATTGCCATATCTCCCAAGCAATCTTTATGTGAAGGCATTTTTCTTACCATCTCTCTCTACTATCAAGCATTTTTAAAATAAATGTGTGCTATTTTTATGTTCATTAAGTATTTTAGGGTCTTATTTCAAAACTTGAAATACATCTCAGTTAATTTCTTTTTAGTTTGCCCCTGACACAACAGATCTTCAAAATATGCTTGTAATAAGAGAAGTATTCTAATTAATTAATACACTCATTAAAAGAAATGGCTTCCATGAACAGTTAAAAAAGTGAATTAAATGATATATAATGGAACCAAAGATTTCATGTGAAGTGCAATTAAAATATTAAAATGCGTAAGATAAAATTAATGCAAATGTGCAATCTTAAGTGGGAAGACCTATTACTATAGTATAAATTCAGGTATGCACAATCTGAAAAATATTCCAAGCCTGTATCATACTGTAGCTATTCTTATGTTTATTTGGTCTTTTTACCTTCATACTAAAGATATAAGTGGCTTACTAAACACCTTGATCGTACTGATTAGTATGAATTTGACATGTGCTTACATTTAGTTGTGGCATTTACAGCTTCACCTGGGTTATTATGACAAAAAGAACAGTTTTCTGAGGTAATGTAAAAGATAATTAGTTAGATTTAATCATAACACAGTATAAATTTACTTCTACAACTTATGCTGAACATTAGAAATACTGTAATTTTCTCTTTGGGAAACTAAAATAACCACTGACAACACAGAGACATACTGTTAAAGATGGAAAAGAGCATGCATTAATTTTCTTTGCTATCTCATCTGTTTACTAAATTTTCAATGAAATACAATAGTGTTTGCTTTATAAAGCCAATACTCTATTTCATCATGTAAGCCTGGAAACATAAGCGAAGTCAAGTACTTTCTGTAGGTGACTGTGTGGGACAATGGAAACCAAGCACTGCTAGACAGTTTCCTACAATAATGGAAATCACACTTTTTTTTTTCACATGAATAGGCAACAAATGTGAGAAAACAGAATTTAAAAATAAACATATGTCTGGCCCACCACACTGAACTAGTGGCTAAATCCTCACCCTTTATATACCTGAGCCAGGATGCCATATGAGTACTGATTCATACCCTAGCTGCTCCCCTTCCCTTCCAACTCCCTTCTTGTGTCCTGGCAAAGCAGTTTAGGACAGCCCAGAGCCTTGGGACCTTGTGTCTCAGTGGGAGATATGGAGGAGGTTCCTAGCTCCTGGCTTCGGATAGGCTCAGCCCTGACCGTTGTGGCCACCTGGGGAGTGAATCAGTTGATGGGAGATCTTTCTCTATCTCTCCTCTCTGTAAATCCTTCAGTAAAAATAAAATAAAAATAAATAAATCCTTAAAAAACAGTTACATGTCATGCAGAAAACTCAGCATATAATAAAAGTGTCTTCTCAAGTCACTAGTGTAAGTACGGGTTGTGGTGTAATGACTGTGCAGCAGCTGACCATCTAAAAAGGCTGAGTCACCTATCTCATGCGGCAGTTCAACTCACTATGTTCTAAATTCAAAAATTAAAAGTACCAAAAATGTCACAGAAGTGATTAGAATTTATTTATAAATCAGGTTTTAATTAAAGTATTCATTTGTTTTGTTTTTCTGTTGCAAAATATTTTCTATAAAATCTGTCAATTTCATGCATTTCACAATACAGATTTAGCAGCATAGTTTAAAAATTGAGACACAAAATTATAACCTTCTTTAAATATATCAAATAGTTTATTCTTAGTTTTGGTAAAAGCTTACAAAATCCTTTTCCAGTTTGTTTTATTAAACTTACTTATGGACTTCAATGTTATCTATCCTATGAAATCTGAAAATTGCTAGCACAGTTGGGTACTTTAGAAATTTACATGATAAAGGCATTTAGCATTACCTTTCAAAATTTAGCTTCCAAAGAGCAGAAAGCATTCATAAGTAAAAAACTAATGGAAAATGTATGCTTTATCAGGGTTGGAATTGTCAGGACTGTGGGCTGTTGAAAAGCTGTGAAAATATTTGTTCTATGCCGATGCATCCACATTCAGAACTTCTGATTTGAGAAATTTTAAACATGATTTTTTTTTGCTTTTTAAAAATGTTTTGGACATGTTCAACATGGTTTATTACTACAAGTTGAAAAGGATAATAGCATTTTCTTAATCTCTGTCAATCTCTGCTTTCGCCTTCCTTCCCACTGTCTTTCTTTTTTTCGTTTCCTTTCTTTTATTTACAGATACCCTGTGTTAATTTACATTATTGTCAAGGGCTTAATGCTCCAACAAATAATAATTCCAGATCATCTAATGTAAATTGAAATCTGTAATATTATTTAATTTCTACCCTTTTGTTTGAAAGTACATGAAGTTGACAAATGTGAATTAGCCAGCGTGGCTTACCTTTTTCTGAATAAGAACAACATTGAAGAGGCAGTTGATATGAAAACACCTGAAGTTATTAGTCATCTGTATTGCTTCCCATATAAAGGCACAGTACAGGTATGTTAAACATGTGTAGTGGTTTGTATTTCATATTTTTATCTGTAAATATTAGAAATTCTTCAGTGTTGAAGTTATTCAAGGGTTATGAAGTCTTCATAAACTAATTACCAACAATCTCTTTGGAAATCTCTATTTCTGATTATAGAACGGATAGGTAATGAAGACTCTGAAGAACATTTCGTCTCTGGACTCTTGGATTTTCTTTATGTTATTATTTGAACTGTTTTTTTTTTTTTCTTATTAAGCACCATTATGATTACGCTATGTCATTGTTTGAAGATAATAATTAGCTGTCATTATCATTTGGCTATATTAACCCTCTGGGAGATTTCTCTGTCAGAGCAGTCTTACTAATAACAATTTTGAGATCTGTAGTAGGAGTAAAAAAGATGGCTTTATTGACCCTTTGTGTACAAATTAGTGTTATTTTTTAACACATATAAAAGAAGAAATAATTTAGAATATAAATCATATAAAACTTAGTACCTATTTATGTTACCTGAGAGGCAGAAAGACAAATATAATGATTGAGTCAGAGAGAAGACACATACATACGCTGAGGGAGAGGCAAGACAGTGAGAGAGCCGGAGACCGAGAGTGAGAGAGAGAAAAGAGAAGGAGATGAGAGAAAGAAAGGGATGTAATGGGCTCATTCCATCCTGAATGTCAACAACAGCCGTGGATGGGGCAGAAAAGCCAGGAGCTTGGGACTCAGTGTCCCAACTACATGAGCCACTGAGTTACAGTAGCAGGAAGCTAGAATTGGAAGAGAACTTGAAACTCCAGCAGTCCAGACATTCTGATATATGAAGCGGGATCCTGCATTATAAAATTACAATCAGACTGAAAAAGGAGTTTTCCAAAAGGTTCAGAGTTGGACAGATATTTTAACCTTTTTTGCCTTGATGTAATACTAACATTCTCATTCCACAGGAACAAAAAAAAATTGTAATTTCATATGCACATCATTTACATAAAATGTTCAATAATAAGTCATAACAATTTAAAGTTATACTGACATTGTGTCAATCCCATAAAAATTATGCTAGTTACTGTTCCCTTTCAAATTTTTTAATGACTGACATTGCAGCTACAGAGTAATGGGTTTTGAATTCCTTAAACCTTTTAAAGTATTTCTTCAGACACATGTCTTACTATGCCTTTGCAATTCAACAATGCATGAGGTAAACTCTTTCATGTATTAGGTAGTCAACAAGATACACATGACTGTGCATTTAAAATAATTGCTAACATTAAAAACATAACAAAACAGTTGTTTAGAATCAAGAAAATGTATAAAAGAAGCAATTCAGTGCAGGTGATTACCCTGTTGCTACAGTGATGACCAAGATGCTGTAATGTAGTAGCGTGGTTCAAGTCCTGGTTTATGCTGTGTAATTCAGTTGATTCTAGTGTGTATCCTGAGAGGCAGCAGAGGATGACAGAAGTAATTGGGACGTTGTCATCCTTATAGAAAAGTACAGTTATGTTCCCAGATCTCAGATTTGGATTGACCCTGTTGATATGTTCTAGGCATTCAAGGAATAAACCAGTGCACTAGAGTGCTCTCTCTCACTTTCTCTCTCTCTCTGAAATCAATTTAAAAATTAGAAATCTAAGACTAATCCTTTTGTTTTTTATGGCCATATTGCATATAAATAACACATTTTATCATAAGTAAAACTAACAAATGTATGTGTCACATAATATTTACAATCTTATATCTAGGCTATAAAGACCAGAGTAATTTGAAACTATGTTTAAAAAAATATTCAAAAATGTTATTTTTTTCAGAAAATGTATTGGGGCCCAGTGCAATACCTAGTGGCTAAAGATCTCGCCTTGCTTTCGGTTGGATCCCATATGGATGCCAGTTCTAATCCTGGCAGCCACGCTTTCCATCCAGCTCCCTGCTTGTCCTTCGAAAGCAGTCAAGGATAGCCCAGAGCCTTGGGACTCTATACCAGTTGCAGCGACAAGGAGAGTGAATCATTGGACAGAAGATCTTTCTCTCCATCTCTCCTCGTCTCTTTATCACTGACTTTCAATATGAATAAAATAAATCTTAACAAAAGATTTATTGGACCCGGCGCGGTGGCACAATGGTTAAGGTCCTCGCCTTGCACGCCCAGGATCCCATGTGGATGCCGGTTCTAATCCCGGCAGCCCCGCTTCCCATCCAGCCTCCCCGCTTGTGGCCTGGGAAAGCAGTCGAGGACGGCCCAAAGCTTTGGGACCCTGCACCCGCATGGGAGACCCGGAATAGGCTCCTGGCTTCTGATTGGCATAGCATCGGCCATTGCACTCACTTGGGGAGTGAATCACCGGATGGAAGATCTTCCTCTCTGTCTCTCCTCTCTGTATATCCGCCTTTCCAATTAAAAAAATAATAATAAAAATAAATCTTTTAAAAATTTTTAAAAAAGATTTATTTATTTTTGTTTGAAAGGCAAATTTTGCAGAGATAGAAGGAGATACAGAAAGGTCTCTCATCCTCTAGTTCCTTCCCTAGTTCCACCACATTGTAGCTGGTAGCCAGCGGCTTATTCTGTCTTCCAAGTGGGTGCAGAGGCCTAGGCATATGGACCATCCTCTGCTTCTTGCTCAAGCCATAAGCTGAGAGCTGGATAAAAAATCGAGCAGCCCAGACACGAACTGGCCCCATATGGGATATGGGCACCAGTGGGCAGAGGATTAGACTTTTAAGTCACTGTGCCAGCCCAGCTATATTTCCTCAATTAAAACATTTTTAGGTAAAAATTTGTCATAATTGAGGAAATATAGTAATTTCACTAATTCAATCGAAATCAAAGACCTCCATGGTTACTAAAAAGTTGAAAATTGCAATTTCCATCATCATCATTAAATATGACTTGTAATAGCATTTATAAACAATTTACTATATGAGTAAAGCAATCAAAATCAAAATTAAATTTTCAACTGTAATTTTAATTATTTTATAATGATAAACATTTCAAGCACTATCTGAAGAGTAAAGAATTAATGAAAATATTCTAATTTATCTGATGTTTATTAGATCATGGAGCTCTTTTCAATATAAACATATATAACATCTATATATCTTTTCAATAGGTAAACCTATATATTCATACATTTTTAAAAATTCAGGTCCTTAGAATTTGCTAGGAGTTTTATGAGATGTGTTTGCTTTCGTCTAAGACTGATAATATTACACACACATGCAGAGTTAATGTTCTGTTGATTTCAGCAGAAGGAAAATATAAAATGAAACACGATTACTCGTTTTTTTCTTTTTGTGTTACTTCTTCAATACCTGAATTACATTACTGAATATTTATATGATATTGGCATACTTGTGACAAATTAATGTCAGCTTTTCCTAAAGACAGTGACGTTAACGTAAGTGAAGAACTATTAGTTCACAGTGGCATAAGGTTAGTTACCTGCTCTCCACAATAAGCATTAGGCTTTTTGACGACTCCTACATGCAATCACGAGAAACCATGCAACAAGAAGTTACTACAGATAGCTTTATGAAAACAGTTCTTACGTTTGGCAGACTCGGAGACCCACATAGTCCAAAATGGTGCTTCCTAACACCAAAGGGATGAAAATGAAAATAAGAAAAAGTTTTGTACATCACAGAGAATGCAGATGCATAGCACAGAGATCCTACTCACTTGGGTTTTTCCTTGTGGTTTTACTGCATCTGTCAGATGAAAAATCCTAATCATGTGGAAGTGTCCACAGAGAAACTCCTGCAATTTCAGATTGTCCCTTGTGAAATTACGCCAGTTAGAGCCATATGTAGATGATTTAACAACATGAAGGGACAAATGTGTGGTGCCTAGGATTAACACATCAGGAAGAACTCATGAATTAAAATCCCGCTCACACCCACCCCTGCAATAGCAGTGAATCTACCGAACAAAACATGGGTACACAATTTTGAAGAAAGCCCCAAGGAAAAATTTTTTCTAAGCAATATCATTCTGATGTGACCATCTGTGCTAATCACTTGCTTAGACTACTCAGATGGAGAGGAAGCCAAGGGCACTGGTCCTCCGTCACAGGACTCCCTGCTACCTCATCAGCTCATCTGAGAAAAGCGATGATGTTGGAGCTTTCCCTTCCCTCCAGGTCAAATTGCATAAATTATCAAAGTATTCCTGGTGTATTTTATTATCTTAGAGCGATAAGGAAAACATAGTATTTGGGAATTTTATGTAAAGAAATTGTAGTTGATAACCAGTAGTAACCTGTGTCAGTCTCACAATTGTAGAGGAAAAAAAAAAAAGTCAATGATGTTAAATTCACAATTTACACAAATACATGGAAAACTTGCAGAATGACCAGACCATTGGTAAATATAGAAACCTAAGCGTTCTGGCCCTGCACAAGGGCCTAGTGGCTAAAGTCCTCCCCTTACAAGTTCCATACGGGCGTCATTTCCTACCCCGGCTGCTCCACTTCCCATCCAGCTCCCTGCCTGTGGCCTGGGAAAGCAGTGGAGGACAACCCAAAACCTTGGGACCCTGCACACGTGTGGGATACCCTCTTGGGAAGATCCTCATGGGAAGAACCTCTTGAGTTCTGGCTACAGATCAGCTCAGCTGTTATGGCCATTTGAAGAGTGAAGCAGAGGATGGATCTGTCTGTCTCCCCTTTCTGTAAATCTGACTTTCCAAGAAAAATGATTAAATCTTAAAAAAAATAATATAAGCTTTACAACCTAACCCCTGAAAAACAATACCAAAGCACCAAAAATTAAAACAAAACAAAAACAAAACCACCAGTTCTTATTTTGTCTTTTTCCTTATAGTCAATTTGAAGGCATTTAAAAAAAATTCTAGTACATTGAATGTAAATAAAGTACATATTAAGCTAGTTTTCTGTAAGCATAAGTAGAATATTTGGGACATTTTGCATAAAAGTTGAAGGCTAGAAATTTAGGAATTGGTTTTTATGGTCTGAGCTGCTGATAAGTCTTTTAATAGCTCAACAGCTTAGATAAAATCTGCATTAAAAACTAAATGGTCTTAACATTCATATTTTTGCAAGGAAATTTTAAGAGCATATTCTGTTTTCATATGAATATACCATGAGGTGGTTGAGAATAAAGTGTCGTGATATTAAATCTCACTAAAGAAGTGACATATGAATGTGTGTTCATGCAGAGAAAGAATAATAGTACAGTATCTTAAAATATTTGGTGTTAAAATAGTTGGTTTCTCAACTAATAGCCTCTGAGTGTAGAAAACCATTGTTAGGCAGAAATAAAGGCCTTCCTGAATTGCAAATACACATGCATATGCACATAAATTATATTTATGGCTTAAGTATAATCTTTTTGCCATGGATCATGTGTAAATAGAATTTGAAAAATTCATTTATCCATATCTAACATGTGTTCAGCTTTCTAATAAATGTGACATTCTGACTTTCTTTGCACTCCAAAAATAAACGTAAAGATTCTCCACTGACTTTTACCCAATACAACTTACATCTCTCTAAGCTATTGGTCTATTAGTGGACTATCAGCAGCTAAGACCAGAAAAATCAATTCCTAATTATTGGTGCCAGAGTTAGCTTTTAAATATAGCTTTTAAGCTATACAATAAATCAAAAACAAAAAAATAAAAGTAATCTGATGAATATAATTAAAAATATTGTATAACATGAACAAATTTCCTAACTTTCATATATACCTTTTTGGGGCATAATACTTGCTACCTTACTGTCCCTCATACCCACACTTGTAAAATTCCCGATACTTCTTTCCTAATTAAATTGTTTTAATTTTATAAGTTATTGAAATTCCATTGTTGGTTGGGAGCTACTTTCAGGAATTCAGGAGATACATGGATAGATCTAAAATTCTTGATGGAAATATATTTCTCTGGAAACAAAGTTTATCTAATCATGCCCAGAATATTCATTCAAAACAAATATGAAATACTTCCCCAAATTTGAACAAAATATATTTTTAAAACCACATTAAATATTGGCTTTGTGATAATATAATTTGGAATGTATTCAATTTTTATTTCACTTGTTTTATTTTATTTATTTTTCAAAGATTTATTTTTATTTGCAAGGCAGATTTTTCAGAGAGATTTTGGGTTCACACCCAAAATGGCTGCAATGGCTAAGCAAAGCCAATCCAAAGCCAGGAACCAGGAGCTTCTTCCAGGTCTTTCACGTGGCTAAAGGGGGCCAAGAATTTGTGCCATCCTCTGCTACTCTCCCTGGCCATAAATGGGGAGCAAGATTGGAGCAACTGGGACATGAACCTGCACCCACATGGGATGCTGGTGCTTGAGGGGTTGGAATGGTGGAGTAAATTAGACTGTTGAGCCATAATACCGGTTCTCATTTATTCAAAAATTCACTGAGGAAGGAAACATTATTTGTTGATACGGGAAAAGAATTTTCATTGATCTGTTTCACAATATAAAGCTCTTTTTACCATATCAGCCAATATTTAAGCAATGCCTACACAAATTCTCTAAGGTGAAATGAAGTAGTTATGGGTAGTTACCTAGTGAATTTTATTTGTCTTTTAAAATCTGTGATTGTTTCCTATTTTGAGTATCAATTAAAATGACTCAAAGTGGTTTGCTGTAAATTAAAATTGTTTTTCCCCTTGCAAAAGGAACACGTTATTGCATTATGTGAAACAAAATATTAAATTCAAACTTTGATACAAATGTGAAATCAGGTCATGATGGAAGTGTAAACTATTTTTTAAATCATTGTATTTTATAGATTTATGCAAATGGGTTTAATTACTCGACTGAGGAGGAGAGTCAGAGATCTTGGTGTATTTGTGTTCTTGGAGGGGCTGTCGGATTGCATGTGGAAAATGTAACTGACTGTCAAGAAAATCAATTTCAACAAGAAGATACAAGTAAAGGTCAAATGAATATACTCAAGTACGTATGAATCATGTCAACTAATATATTAACTATCTGTCAAAAAAGTTCTATTTGCATGACTATATCATTATTGGACCATATCGTGATATTTTTAGTAACAGTCACTTCTTTTAAAAATTGTTGGAATTCATGTATCAGTAGTGTATCTTTCTATATGTGATACATGTATCAGAACACTAGTACAAGAAGGAGCTGAGGAGGAATAGATCCATAATGTAATACCTTGTCTACATTATATTGAAATCAAATCAGTATAAATAGGTTAAATACAGACATCATACAAAATGGGGAGGACAACATCATGACTGCATGTGAGCCAGGTAACATGCATGAGGTCACATCTCTGCTCTGTACTAGAATAATTTGGGCAAAGAAATGGTGGGAATAAAATATTCGACCAAGTAAATATATAAAGCATTTCTGATATTATATATATAATATATATATGTAGCAAATTCTATAGCTTCCACTCTGAACATAACTCCAATAATGCTGCAAATAATAGCCAGCAATATTACATGAGGTAAAAGGGTACCCTATATAATATCTTTCAATACAAAACTGAGCATTGCTTGAATACTCATTAAGAATGATGTTATGCATATGGACAAATGATTAGAATGCAAGATTTAAATTTCATGATAGCAATCATACCATTGAAAATCAATGGACTAAAATCCAATAAAAAGAGAAATAGACTTACACTTGATCCCATCTAAGTTCACAGAATATATCCTTTAGAATGAAGTAAACACATAGGTTGAGAGCAAAAAATAAAATAATAAATGATGCACTACTGACCAAAGATTTAAACATAACCTATTCCAAAATTTGAAAAGAAGTGAGTAGTTTTCAGCTGATTCTGTAAGGTCAGTACTATAACCATTACCAAAACCAGAGAAAGATATTTAAAGAGATCTTAGTCTGACATATCTTATATATATAAAACAAGAACCTTTGGCATAATAGAACACACCATGTACTGTCACATAGAGAAGACCAAGTGTGATTTGAACCAGAACACAACATTAATTTAACCTCCCAAAATCAGTTAAGATAATCTGCCATGCCAATAAAATGAAGTGAACATTTTTCTGGCAATTTTAATAGATGTAATGAAAAAATACATATTTAACAAAATTCCAAACCTTCATGATGAAAAATTAAAAGCAACAAAAATAACCAATAAAACCACCAACTAAAGAAGTCAGTGGAACTCCAAAATATGACAAGGGTTATTTTTTAAGCAAATGTAATACATAGTTGACACTAGACCTAATATGCAGAAACAAATTTTAATCAAAGGAGTGGTAGCAATCTATAGTAGTCATTATGGGTATAAGAAGAATAGAAAGATAGTAACAGCTATTGGCTTTGCAGAGGTATGTATATTGTTGGTAACACAGTAAAATCAATTCAAGTTTTTGGAAAATAATATTTTATTTTCTGAAAGGTGTATTCCTAGACTTATCAAATATTGCTTCTAATTTACACTCCAGAAAATTTTCTAAAAATCAACAAAACTAAAACTTCTTGAGCCTTTAAAATGTTTTAGAATCAACAATAATGTATACAGGCTAACATAATTTCATTATATTTTATTAAATTGATTTCTCTTATTACTAAGTAGCTTTCAATTCAAAGCCATTTGTCTTAACATTATGTCTGTATACATGCGTGTATGTTAACCTTTACTTTAAAACTAGTAACTATGAGGAAATATCAATATAATATCTCTTTGGTACTATTTATAAAATTTCTATTATAAATGAGGTAATTTCTCCAAAAATTACAAACATTGTTAGTTTTCATAACCAAGAGGTAAATGACTAGCAAATGTTATGAAGAGTGGTTTATAATTTCTAAAAATCAAGTACATGGAAACTATAGCTAAAAGTAATAAGATTAATAAAATTAAAGCTTTTTTTTTTTAGCATCTAGAGTTCTCCACAGTTTAGAAAATCCAGGTGTTTTTTTTTCTTTTCCTTTTCTTTTTTTTTCTATTTTTTTTAACATTTATTTACTTTAATTAGAAAGGTACAATTGCAGAGAGAAGGAGAGACAGAGAAGAGGGCTATAATACCCACAGCTGAGCTGATCCAAAGCCAAAAGCCAGGAGATTCTTCCTGGTCTCCCACATGGATGCAGGGTCCCAAGGCTTGGGGACATCTTCTCTTGCTTTGCCAGGCCACAAACAAGGAGCTGATGGGAAGCTGAGCAGCAGGGACTTGAACCTGCACCCATATGGGATACTGACACTTGCAGAAGGAGGATTAGCCAATTGAGCCATTGTACTCAGCCAAATATATCAGCTTTCTTAAAATCAAGTACAAGGGTCCCGGCTCCATGGCTCAATTGATTAATCCTCCTCATCTAAGCAAAGGGATTCCATATGACCACCAGTTCATGTCCTAGCTACTCCACTTCTTATCCAGTTCCCTGCTTGTAGCTGGGTAAGGACTGGAGAATGGCCCAAAAGCTTGGGACCCTACACCTGTGTGGGAGACCCAGAACAGGCTCCTGGATTTGGATCTACTCAGCTCCAACAGTTAACAACCATTTGGGTTAGTGAACCAATGGATGGAAGATTTTTCTGTGTCTCCTTCTCTCTATAAATCTGCCTTCCCAATAAATAAACAAATAAATAAATAAATATTAAATTAAAAAATCAAGAACAAAATAATTTTCTTGGAAATTACTTTAATAATAACTACTAATACGAAACCATTTTCCTTTTGAGAAAGAAACAATTTCTGCCAGCAATTTACCTTAGGGGTCATCTTTAACAAGGATACTGATAAGTTTTTATAAGATGTTCCATCTTTAAAAATTGCTACTACAGTATTTAAAAAAATAAGTTACCTGTCAGGGTACGTTCTTACTAGGACATATTTTGTAAGCCATTTTAATACCTTGAATTGATATCCAAGTAAAAATCCAAGACATATCATTAAATGAAAAGGGTATGTTTCAGAATATTATATGTGACCAGGATGTTATTTTCTTTAAATAACAATATGTATACATGAGTACATGAGTGCATACCATAATATTAATGATAAAATGAGGGAAATGCATAATATATAATGAATACTTATTGAAAATTCCCTAAATATGTCTCAGTTGTATCAGAATTTTTTATGCAAAAGTTTGGAACAAGTTAATTACAATTCATCAAATCAAGGAAACATGAACATACAAAGAAAAGTGTGCTCTCGATGACTGTCTCCAACCACTTCTTTAGGCTGATGAATGTAATCACTTAGGTTCAGCAGTTTAATCTGTATTAATAGTAACAAGCCAAAAGATTTGATATTGTATGCTTCAACCCATTAACGTGATATATGATAATCTTCAGTGCCCTTTGAATCTCGATCAAGGCTACATGAAGACCTTGGTAGTTTATTTTGGACTTATCATTATCACTACGATTTAGCTTTTTCTCCTCATGCATGTGCTTTCGTATGTTCAGTTGTTTTTTTTTTAACATTAAACTTTATGATCATCATTGTATTTATTGGACAAACTAGACTAGTTCTATGCTACCTCCAGTAACACTGGGCTTTAAAGTTGAGTTGGTACAACAGTCTAGAAATAGTACCAGTCAAATCATGTTTCCTAACACATAAACTCCTGTTCTGATAAGTTTAGTTTGATATAATGATATAAATACTAGACTTACACTGTATTTAACAGCTGCGCCAGGTTATTTGTCATTTTTAAAGTTGTTTCATCAATCTTATACTCTTGCAAAAATCCAGGATCACTTCTTGGCCATTGGCTAAGATCAGGTTTTTTTTTTGTTGTTTTTTTTTTTTTTTTTAGTTTATTTATTTACGGAAAATGCAGTGTTACAGAGCGAAGGAGAGTGATTTTTCATCTGCTGATTCATGCCCCACATGGCCAGAGTGGCTACAGCTGGACCAATCTGAAGCCAGGAACTTCTTCCAATCTTCCGCATGCGCACAGTGATCTAAGTAGTGGACTTCCATTGCTTATCCAGGCACATCAACAAGGAGCTGTATTCTAAATGCAGCAACCCACACTGGAACCGGCACGCATAGGATGGGACACCACTATGAGCTCTGGCCTCACATGCCCATATATATAAACTTTTATGAGCATAATGATAACTCCTATGTGTAGATAGAACAATCAAGGGAATATCTATGGAAATATTGTATAATACACGAAAACAACATTTCATAATTTGTATTATGTTCGGTATTTCTGAAGGAGGACCCATTGCAATTTATTTAAATTAAGATGATTAAAAATGTATGCATGTATGTGCATGTTCACCTATGTATAAATGAAGTAGGTGAAGAACTTATTTAACTCTAAAAATAGCATTCCTGGGCCTCAGTGCACCAGCAGCTAAAGTCCTCACCTGGAACACGCCGGGATCCCATATGGGCGCCGGTTCTAATCCCGGCAGCCCCACTTCCCATCCAGCTCCTTGCTTGTTGCCTGGGAAAGCAATTGAGGATGGCCCAAAGCCTTGGGACCCTGCCCCTGCATGGGATACCTGGAGGATGTTCCTGACTCCTGGTTTCGAATCAGTGCAGCACTAGTCATTGCGGTCACTTGGGGAGTGAATCATCGGATGGAAAATCTTCCTGTGTGTTGCTCATCCTCTCTGTATATCTGATTTTGTAATGAAAATAAATAAATGTTCAACAAAAAGAAGAAATAACATTCCTGTTTTGTAATTATCAACTTATATCAATTGACCTTTCACATATTAATTAAATTTACATGCAATAGAGGATTTTATTTCACAGTTAACTTCAATTAATGGAACTAGATCAAAACAATTACAAAAATATATTCAATAATACTTAATTGCTGTAAAAAATTTACATGTGTATTATTACAGCAAAGTCTTAAGATTAAAAATTCTCTACAGTCTATATGTAAAATAATGAATCAATAAAAGGCATTTATGTATTTAGGAATATATTTGAAATTTCAAATATATAGCTTTTAAAAATGAATTCATCCATTTTCACTTTATTGGAATGGCAGAAAGATAGAGAAATGGAACAAGACTGAGATTGAAAAGATTTTTCAATCTGCCCTTCTGAACTTACATGCTTGTGGAAGTTGGGGCTGGGCCAAGCAGACTCCCGGAATCAGTGCTTCATCCCAGGTGTCTCATATGGGCAGCGTGGCTCTAATTATTTGAGTCATCATTGTTGCCTCTCAGGATTCATATGAAAAAGGAGTTGGAACTGACCATCAAGTCAGAATTCAAACCCAAGCAATTTAATATGAGATGTGATTATCCAAAGAGGTATTGTAAGCACTGCTTCAGTTGCTACCTCAGAGCATTTGTTTTTGTTTTACTTTTTTTTGAGAATATGATCTAAACCATACATGACCTTGCCCTTCAGTTATTTCAGAGGAATAATTGCATCAAGCAACAAATTGTGTTTGGATAATTTATTTTGTTTGTAACATGGGTACACACAAACATGTAAAGATTTTGCCATGTCATTTTGTCATGAAATGGTACCTGCTCACATAGCAATTAAGTGACACAACTTGTGTCGTGTTTTATTTGACTTTCTTTGCACTCATCATTTCAGTAAAATTGAGTTTTACCATTACAGGACACTTTCTATGAGAATGTTCTAAAAATACACCCTATAGTCATCCTTAATAAGGAATTCAACTTGTGCCTTGAAAATGTGACTTATAGTTACTCAAATAAAGCAGACGCTGTTTTTTTCCGTTTGCGTGTTTCAGATGCAGTTGTGCTTTTGTTTATCTTGAGAGATTCTGCACTGTCAATGTTGAAAAGTGCTTGGGAAACCAGAGTACCTCAGAGCATGCCCTGGGCCCCGACCATTTGTGCAACTGGAGCTGCCTGCAAAGATGTGAAAGCACCATCGGTGAAATAGAATATTACACATCTGTACCCTGCAAAAATGGAACAACCAGGACACGTCAAAGTGGATGTTTCCTCTGCAAAGGTGTCCAAAGATTTACAGGCAGGTATTTTCTAACAAATCGAATTCTGTGGTGTTAATGAGGCTAATGCGCTCATTTGACGTATTTCGAATGTGCCTAATGATCGGTACTGCAAACTGCTTTCTCATTTGGCAAAGTAAAATACCTTCACCTGAATAATTGGATTGCTCTTTGGGCAATTTCAACGCTGACTACACAGCCTTGCTAGTGCAAATGAGGCTAATAAGGCCTGGTTGAACCACTGAGAATATGATGGCTTATGGTTGAGGTCTGAGGCAGAAAGCAGACAGCTTTAACCTTCTGGTAATTTGCCTAAACAAGTTCACTTCTGCATTTCAGTTTCTGGCTGCAAAAGCACATCAGTAACATTTCACCCTTGGTTCAAGAATAAAACTTATGCTTCAGAGTGGTCCAGGACATGAAATCGGACAGGACTTTTAAAAAAAGCATTAACATCCTGAAATTGCCTTAAAATTTACATTAAGATTCCAGTCTTGGTTTTCCATTGACAAGTTGTTGATTATTGTCTTATACAAAGCAGTAGAGAAATTATTGAGAATCAAAATAATATTTTCACTTTTAAGCCACATCAAGTTTTAAGTAAAATAACTTTGAAATGTGCTATCCAGTTTGATAGCCTATTTTATTAAGCATAACAAATTTGGATTTCCATCTTAAAATGAAAATATATTTTCCCTATTTGGTGTTTAAACTAATATGTTGAAGGTTTTAGAGGCAATTTAAAAAGATAAGTTCAAAAAGTGGAAATGGTGATAACATTTTGGAATACATATATGGGTGTAGAGACCAGCCTTTTTATAATTAGAAACATATTCAGATGCACAAATTCTGGTAAGCTTGCTAACAGCTAGTCCCATTAAATTACAGCCAAACATGCTCTAAGTAAAAATAACTTTAAAAATACTACCATTGCAACAATATGCATATATAAAGAAGTACTTACGGAATATAAAAAGAGGGCCTGGTGTGGTAGTCTAGCAGCTAATGTCCTCACCTTTAACACACTGAGTTCCCATACGGGCACTGGTTCAAATCCCAGCTGCCCTGCTTCCCATCCAGCTCCCTGCCTATGGCCTGGGAAAGCAGTCAAACACAGCCCAAAGCCTTGGGACCCTGCACCCTCATGGGAGACCTGGAAGAATCTGCTGGCTTCTGTCTTCAGATCAGCTCAGCTCCGGCCATTGCGGTCACTTGTGGAGTGAATCAACAGATGGAAGATCTTGCTCTCTGTTTCTCCTCTTCTTGCATATCTGTTTTTCCAATAAAAGTAAATAAATCTTAAAAATATGAAAAGAATATATATATAAAGAAGCACTTAAAGAATATAAAACATACTTTAAAAAGTATAACAGAATAATGTCTATAATTAGTAAATAGATAGGAAGAAATAACTTTAATTCTTCCTAATGCCGGTACTAAGAGATATGATTTGATGCATGTACTAAAACAGACATATGCTATGTATAAAAGCATACATAATCAAGTTGTCACATTATGTGTCAATGCCATAATTTAATAATATATCAATGAATATGTATTACATATATAATTTTCACATAAGTATTTCACATATATGCATTATACTATTAGCACTTTATTTAAAATGATATGAACTACTTAGATGATGATAAAGGTATTTTTGTTTTTCAAGTTAATACAAACAAAAAGTTCTTAACATTATGAGTAAGGTCATTATTGTCTTTGATTTTAATGAATCACTTAGTTTTTAAAGATTTGTTTATTTTGATTTCAAAGGTAGTTTTACAGAGACAGAGAGAGAGAGAGAGAGAGAGAGAGAGAGAGATCTTTTTCATCTATTGGCTCACTCCCCAAATGGCTGCAACCAACAGGACTGGGTCAGGTTGAAGTAGAACCAAGGGCCCCTTCTGGATCTCCAGTTATGGGTGCAGGCGCCCAAGGGTTTGAGTCAGCCTTCACTGATTTCCTAGGCCTTAAACAAGGAGCTGAATTAAAAGTGGAGTAGCCAGGATATGAACCCTGGTCTATAATGGAATTCTGGTGCTGCAAACAGAGGCTTGGCTGTCTGTCCCTGTTATGGTGCTGGGTCCATCTTTAAAATTTATTTCTGTTTTATGTGAAAGTCAGAAAAAACAGGAAGGCAAACAAACAGAGATCTTAAATCTGCTTTCACTCCCAAAATGCCTGTTACAACCAGGACTGGACCACAAAGCAGCCAGGATCTCCTTCCAGGCCTCTCAGTGTGTGGGAGACTCAAGTACTTGGGTCACCATCTGCTGCCTCTAAGTGGGTATATCAGCAGGGAAGTGGATCAGAAGCAAAGTAGCCCGGATTCTAGAACATTCTGATGTGGCGTGTGGACAGCTTAACTGTTGTTCCAAACACACTCCACCACATTGTCTATCTTCTATCAAGCCTTTGTACCAAATCCCAATTTCTAAGAACCAGTAAAAATGTTCAAGAACTGATTCATCTAAATTTTCTCAAGAGTGCAAGAGTTAGTCCTATTGGAAGATTATTTGAGGGATGAGAGTTTGAATCCACATCTCTTCTCCTCCGTCTCCTCTTTTCTCTCTCTAGCTCCTCCTTCTCTATCACTTTCACTGCCTCCAGCTGGAGTCTTCCTTCATAGTCTCCACCTAATTTCTCTCAGCTTGGCCTGATCGCCCCCTGCCTTTCAGCCTTTCCATTTGATTTCTCTTCATTCCCTTTTGCTCACTAAATTTGGCCTCTCTCATCTAGGAGTCCTCTGATCCAGGAACTCGTAGGTTTCTCCCAGAAATTTGCTAGCAATTTTGATGATTGTTAAAATGCCTTTCCTAGCAGGTGTAATCATGTTTTTTCTCTGATCACTATCATTCAAGGGTCAATTTAGCCATACAATTAATTCACCAGATTTAATGGCAGTCTCCAAGCCTTAGCAGGGGATTGTAATTTCATCCTTCACGAGAAATACCTGGAGGTGTTCTCAAACTATTTCTGGCTCCACCTCCGGGGTTTCTCATTCAGTAAGGGCCAGTAGTCCTGAGGTTGTCTTAACGCTCTTGGTCTCTGACACACTCAGAGACATGGCTCTGGTCCGTTAAATGTTGCTCATGAGGAATGCCGTGTGGACCTGACCAGGTAAAATTCAACTTGGGTAAACTACCATTCCTGCACAGCATGAGGAAACCATCTAGTCCATCCTTCTCTCCAGGAAAACTGAACTCTGGGATCAGAAGCTGATGCCATCACAAGGTAAGGCCGTAACTCTCGGATGAATGCTAATTGAATTAAATCTGATTCCAATGTGTTATCTGAAATGTTACAGAAACTTTAAATTCTGGGAATAATTCCAGTGGATTTTAGTTTTCAGGCCATAGCCTTTAAAGAATTCTCATGCTAGCTCTGTGTTTTTATTTCACTATTGAATGCACATTTTTATATTTAAAAGCCTGCCTTGTTTTGACATTTCAGCCTGGCTGTTTTCTTACACAGTATATACAGAATAATACCCTCAGTTAGTAAATTCAGCTACTATTTTGAATTCTGCGTTTTAAAGATTCTGGGTTTGTTCTGTTCATGCTCTCAGTACCCATCATTTCCTATTTCTTTTCTTAATATTTTAGTTTAGGAAGCTCCCTCCTGACCAGTAACAGTGCCCAGGTTTTCACAATTTAGTTTAGGCGTTCCTGTTTCAGATACATCTGTGTGAAGTCTGTTTGTAATCCTGCATTTTCATCTAATTTATTCGGTTCCTATCCTAACACAAGTTCCTTCTTTTGCTACACTCAAGATTTTCAAATTTGACTTACAAATCTTCGGTTTATTATTCTTTCAAATGTTTCTGCACAGCTTTAATGATTATTAAATCTAAGTTTTGTTGGCAATATACGCATTTTTTTCAAATTTTAGGCATCAAACGCTTTCTACCCTTGACTTCCTTACATGTTAGTGTCTATCTTTGTAGTAGATGAGTAACCAGGGTGCTGATCACTCTCCAGGTGAGTTAGTTCTTGAATTTCTAGGAAAGCCACAGGCTTATTTTTCTCCATAGTCTCGAGTTAGTTAATATTTGATATGCTTAAACACAGTTCATGGAATTAAAAAAATTTCCGTTGCTTTTTGGCATGAGTTCTATTTTGTGTTGTATATTCATCCATATATATTGATTCATAAGTAGATACGAGAAAAAATTAATGGGAAGACATATGAAAATAAAATTGCAGCAAGCTTGGAGTAGCTAAAAGAATCTCGTCAAAAATATTAATCTCATTCAGAAAGCTTAACATCATTTCAGCTTATTTTAGTCATATTGTGGGCAAAAATAAAGGGGGAGCAGAGTAAAAATTTGCCCAATGAGATCATTGAAAAAGATTTCAGTCACTTCATAGAGGCAATTTTTGCTAGCTGAAATAGGACCAGAAATTGGGCCATTTGGAGGAAAGAGGCTGATGCACAAAAATACTACTTTGTCGCTATTTGCTTTGGAATACTCCACAGTATACAAATCGGTTCAACATTGATGATAACTAGAACAATACAAATATTTAATGTCTAAGATGCCTGCGTTTGGTTATCCCCTTGGGGAAGTGAATTTGTTCTGCTTCTGATGAAAAGCTGCTCATTTTCATTATTATAAGATACTTATTTTATACCACTTTAATATAGATGCTTGACATTTAATAAGATAGTTCTTTTGGAGTGAATCCCAGATGTGCATACAATTAGAACTAATGTAGGATATTTTGTGTTGCCAGATCACTAATTAAATTCCTGCATATAACCTTTTCTTCCTGAAATGCAACATTTAGTAAATTATTTTATAATTATGCAAATAATGTTTTGTATAACTTTTGCATTTTAATGACTTTGGGAAAAACTACAATTTAGAATTAAATCAACATCTGAAAGCCAAATGTGTAGTAGTATAGTTAGAGCT